TTCACAATAGTCTTGGTACTGAACAATCGTCGGAAAATTAAAAATACTGATAACAGCACTACAAAAGTTTAAAGTACGTATCACTCTGTATCAGTAGGTATTCACTATTCGATTATTGATTAATATAAGAGATATTATATTATATTAACCTACAATTAAGTTTTAAGCACGACTTGCAGATAGCTAAACAATGGTTTTCAGAGGTTTATTTACAAATAACAATAACCACGATTTTATTCAGGTTAACGTTAACCTAACCTAATCCACTATCTGAAACAGCTGAGAGCCGAGAATCACTAGCGCTCGTAGTGATTTAAATATGTTAAATATATATAATATCGCAACGAAATGACAATGGAACTTAGTTTTTTTTTTTTAAAGTTCAGTACTTGAAGAGATATATTATAATATAGTAGTTAATCCATATTATAATACTACTTTGACAATTTTTTCTTAAGACAAAATACTTGTACTCTGGGTCTTCAAACGACACCTATACAGTGTACATAATATAATGTTAAATGTTAATCCCCCTGCATTTAACACAATACATTAAATTTCTTCAAATAACCCCTGCCAGACTGTTGTAATATTAATGGGAACAGCTGCAAAAGAAAATGTTTACAAGACGTTATCGTATAGCCGAGAGTCAAGAGCCCTTTATAATTATTTTTTTTTTATTAGGGTTGAGGCTTCGACAACAAAGATCATTAGCCAGTGGTACTGTAGGGGGGGAACTGTAGGTTGTTAACACGTGTGTGGGTTTTGGCAGAATTTTCGATTTGGGCACCCGTAGGTATCTGCCAGGGCCTAAAGGCTAAAATACATCTGATTTCGGGGGACACGCTTATTAATTTAACTGTTACTTTTGGGCTTTGACAGATTTCTATAGCAAAAAAAACCTGTGGGGTTTAAAACCCCAAAAATAACCCCCTCTTTTATATACCACTTACTCTGTACGTGAGTTAGTGAGGTAACTTTCATAAATATTTTAAGTCACTAAAAGCAGTAAAAGCCTATACTAAGCCTTGTTTGTAGTAAATTGGGAAATATGTAAATATGTTTGTAGGTTACCATCATCAATTAGAAAATAATTAATGTAACGGCATACTTTATAAGAATATTAAGGTTTTTTAAAAAACAAATTTTAAAATATTAAATATTAATATAAAATATATATAATATTTTAAAAATATTAGAAAATAATATTGGGCTTGTTAGTTAAATAAACTGTTATAATATAATATTATTATGTATGTAGAACCTTTTAGTTATATTTATTAAATAAGGAAAAGTAACTAGCTAATTCTTCAAAGTCCAATTTATGATTATAATTATCTGTTTTTTTAAAAAAATATTTTAACATATTTCAGACTTAAAATAAATAAAAACACATATTTATAATATGTTATAGTATAGGTACCTAACTATATAATTTTATGACAATATGCTATAGTTTACAATGCTCTTACTAGTTAACTCTTCAGTACCTATAGGTTTCAGTAAACAATATTGTATTTCAATAGACACAACATAGAATAATTTAAATATATTATGTACTTGTATGTTTAGTTGTTTAATATATTAAGGCAAGTGCCTACTTACTTTGTATTGACCCATTATCATTTCTTCTTCTTTTTTATAACAAACTTGTCCATAGTATAGAAATAAAATAAGTAATTAGTTAAATTAGTTAACAGAATAGGTAACTTTTAAATAAAAATATTAAATGATTAATGTTTGTTATTTCTACAAAACTAAAAAACACGTCATAAAACTTGGGACACACATTTGTCAATCAGGGGACACACTTTGATTTTCAGGGGTCACAAATTGTGTCAGGGGACACAATATTTTAGCCCCTGGCGCCCCGCCACTATCTGCCATGCCCGGGTGGGGGATGGCGGCATTTGTTCTCCGGACACCGTGACTTGCCCGAAGAAAAATGCCGCCCGTGACCACGGGATCGAACCGGCGCCGGCAGCGTCGCAACCGATGCCTTAGACCGCTCGGGGCTCGGCCACTCCGTCCCCCCCTTTATTATTATATTTTATTTTACATTATGTTTTGTTACATAGTATTAGTATTTAGTATATACTATATAGTACCTATATTATTATATTATTAATTATTATATGTATTTCGGTCGATGAAAATCAACTATATAACATATTATTGTTATTCATTTCTACGGTTGCGGCCCAAGGTAATCTTTTTACCTTTCCACCTATCCCGATAATAGGTAGAAAAGTATACTATTTAAGTGATTATCAAAACGAAATAAATTTGCGTTCGATACGTATTTTTACATAAATATAACTACCTATATCGTATTCACGGTTCACACTATCACCAATATTCGGCGAGGTAATAATTTCCAGTCCATTAAAGATAAAAAAAATAGCAAATAAACTGTAAGATTGCAAGGTTGCTAGTGGATCGCAGTTGTATATTGTGCTGTTTGGTTCTTCGTTTTATAAAGTGTATAGGTATGATGGAAAAGTATGAAATGTTAAGCGAAAAAGATAATATTGTAATACTTACCAACAGGGCCACTCCGGCCGGTCTGGAAATGGAAATTTTCCAGATGGCCTGGACCATACTATGGCCCGGTGGCCTGGCCATTCTGTTAGTTTTTTTTTTTTTAATTTAATTTAATTCACAAAATATTAGTTAATGCTAAATGCGTCGTAAATTTGTTTCTATTAAATTATTGTACCTATTACAAATATTATTAATGCAATAATAGTACATTGTGATAGCCTCGTACAATCGTAATCGTATACTCTTATGAGAAAGCTTTGGATATAAAATTACAAAATATTTGGTACATAAATATAGACATCAAATAAAATCGAAGCAATATAATATTGACATAGGTAGGTCGGTTATTTTTATAATAAAACACCCATTTTAAACATTGAAGTATTTAAAAAACAGGCTGAGAAATTCAATGACCAATGATTATCTTGAGTCTTTTATGCTAATGGTCATTGAAAATAAAATTCACATGGAAATAGATAACAATATTATCATAAATGCAGTTGGTGAGAAATCTAATCTATTTTCTAAATTATTATTATGAATGTATAAATCTTTTTTATTATAATATATTGTTTACAATGTATGTATTTATCTATTACTTATTACCTTATATCTACTATACCTAAACAATTAAAACACAATGTATAATATAATTATTAATATTTCGTTGATTTCAACTATTAAACCATACCTACTAATTTTATTTTTCAGACTTTCAGGAATACTGTACATAGTATGGTATATTAATATAATGTGTTAGAAGACAGAAGTTAAAAGAAATAGCAAGATAGTGAATGAAATACTTTTATAATACTAAAAGTAGTTTTGAAATGGGTAAATAGAAAAACCAAATTCGAGCATAGCGAGAAATTTGGTGGGTGGCCTGGATAAATTTTAAACTCCCGGCCTGGATTTGGTTCCCACTCCGCCCCTGCAGTTACAAATGAATTTCGATTTCATAAATTATTAGCAAATTAAATAGAAAAATGGTGTTAGCAAATAAAATTGTAAAGTTTTGTTTAACGATACAATAAAAAAATTATCCAAAGTAAATTTGATACAATCATGAAGCCAATACTAAACAGATATTATACGTAAAAAAATACGTAATATCATTAAAAGAAAGGCAACTGAAAATATTTTGTGATTGTGAGTGACGTTCAAAATTAATTCATGGTGGTTTAAAAGAAACTTGGCAACATTTTCCTATGTAGTCGTTATAGGTATGGATTCGTTATATCATTTATAATAATCATAAACTAGACATAAGACATATTACAATAACGAATCATTGTTTTGAATTTTTAAAGTTACATTATATGTACCTATATAATATAACAATAATAATTAATAATACGTACCTACGTGTAAAAACCTCGTGTTTGTGCTAGAGCGACCGTCCATCCTTCCATCATTCAGCGTGATTTTGTGTGTATAAAACAGAGTTAGGTTTAATGTTTAAAACGGTAATCAGAAAAAATGAGTCCCGGTAAAAAAAGTCTCACACTATAAAAAAAAAGTCCCGGAAAAAAAGGTTAGTTTGAAATTCACCAAAAATCGTATTCTTGTACTGTTCTAATTGTGCTTTATATTTTAGTGTGTAATGTATGAAATGCTTGTACATATTATATGTGTTAGATTATATAACAGCCGTAACTCACAACATACGATAGAGGTTAGGCTAATGATTTTAGTATATTTTGTAGAAAACTCGATAGTTTAGCATTTTTACCAGAAAACAAAGTTTTAGAGGGAATGGATTTTTTAAGAACAATTATGCCACCGGAGGCAACAGATTTCGTCGATTATTTTGATACCACGTATGTCCATGGGTCTTACAGAAGTGTTCAGCATAATCCGAATAATGGTATCAGACTTCGAAATATTGCACCACTCTCAGGGCCGTCCTTTGAGGGGGGCGTGGGGGGGGGGTGTCTAACCCCCCCACTCATGATTTTTTAAATATTTAGTCGGCAAATTGGACACTTGGTAAAAGTTATTTTTTACAGACATTTTAAGTTCAAATTTGGGACGAAATTACATATTAAAAACCTACCATTTTATTGTGAGTGTATAATACTATTCGTGGGTACTTGAAACTTCTAAAGTACACTATATATTATATATCTATGATAGTATCAGGGTTTGTTATTGATGTATAACGTGTTATAAGTACCTAATGGATATTGTGATATGATTAATTTGGAATTTATTATAGGTCAATTTTTTTTTAATACCATAGATATGTATATAATATGTCTTAAACCTAGACTGACATACCGTCTTCGCTCAGAATCGTTTTTCTTATACAATGATATTGTATCATTGAATTCAAATTTAAAAGCATCCATTATACAGTGACCCACTTGTAACCTACTGTACAGCAGAGCGACATCCACTTACCCACCTTTTTTCTTCTTATTCATATAATTTTGCATTTTACTGTTTAAATAATCATGAATTTTGGCAATAAAAATGAAACAAATTCCGGCAAACGAAAGCGGATTAAATTAGAGTGCTTGGAATGTGGCAAAACATTTGACAATGATTATAAGCAAAAACATGAAAAAAATATACATAATGGTAAAAAAGTCGGTACCAAACATTTTGGTGCTCCTAAAAATCCATTCGAAGCTTCTAAACCAAATTCAAAACAAGTAAGTAAAAATCCTTAAAGTACTTAAAATAAATAATACTAACTATCAGTATTATGTTATTAACAAATAAAAATTAGTAAATTGTATTAATATTTATGTAAGTAGATATAGGCAGGTACTAAGGTACCTAATGGTATAAATTAAATAATAATATAAATATAAATATAATATAGTAGAAAACGTATTCGAGCGAAGCGAGAAAAAAATTTTTCAGTCGGCAAATTAATAGATCTACCACCCCCCCATGAATTGTTGTTCGGGACGGCCCTGTGTAGTATGTATAATGATGTACCTATTTCAGTGTAAAATCTAATGTGCGGTCATACCTATAGTTAATATATTATTATTGTACAACTACAACTGTCAAAACTCACATACCTTCAAAAAGTGATTTCCTATACTACAAAAGATAGGTATCAGGTTTTGTTCGGATTAGGATATTACGACTCAAGTCAATAATTATGTAGAAAATATGGTATCGGTACATGCACGTATACACGGGGGTTTAATGGTTCAAACCAGCTAAACCGAAATGTTTTTAAACAATATTATTTTTGGACATGCAGTATTATATTATTATTTTACCAATGTAAAATACAATTTTGATTTTTTTTAAATATTATTTTGTATCAACTATTTGAGTCAATTTGACTATATTATTAAGCGTTCTACACAATACACATTATTATTGTTTACAATTCTTGTATCCGCCGGTGTAATGCGTTATTTTATGATTCATTCCGCAGTCATTCGTCGCCTTTATATAGTGCTTGATGGCTTGAATTTTTCTTGGAACATACTCTTGGATACTACTTTTGGATTCTACTTTTGGATTATACTCTGTATAATCTGAGGTTTTTTATTTAAAATATATATTTTAACGATTTTTAGAGGTACGTCGTCCTGGCACCCGTAACTCGTAAGTCATCATAATCCCCCCTTACCTATCTCATTTTTTTGTACCCGATTTGTATCCATTTGAACCCCCCTTAAAAAAATTTGTACACATCTCCTTTTTACGGAAAACCAAATCCCCCGTCCGGGTGCTGTGACGACGTCGTCCTGGCACCCGGAACCACCAAATGTCAACCGATCGATCCCGGACATATTTCATTTTTTTGTACCCGATTTGTATCCATTTGTCATTAAATCTGTAAAAGTTGATTATACACTCAACAAAACGAAAAAAAAGAAACAATATTTTCTTGTGTTCACAAAATATGTTTATTATAGTAGAAAAGGCCGCAAATTAGAAAAAAAACCGAAATTTAAATGTGTGAACAACAATTTAAAAATTTTGAATTTTGAAATGACTTAAGTTTAAAGAAAAAAAAATACGACGGACAGGATAGACACAATAAACAAGGGGGGAGGATGCGAGATGGCGATTGGTGCAGAAATGCAGTGTTGCTGGCCACTGGTCACCTCTGCACGTTCTCCGACCTGTCCCCGCGGGTTGACGAGTGTCCCTGGCGCGTTTGCTCGGACGCTTGACGACCTTGCCCAGCCGGCGAGGCCAGACCGAGACGGCCACGGGAGCGACCACGGTTGAAGGCGACGGACGGCGGCTAGTGCGCGATGTCTTGCGCGTACTGACGGTCGACGGCGTGACGACTCGGCCGACGGACGGCGAAGACCAAGGCGCTGAGCGAGAGAAGTGAGATTCTGTGCTGCGGAACCGGTGGGGACGATCGAAGCGGCCGACGTGGGATTACCGCGGGGTGAAAAGGCGAGAGCCAGCGGTCCACAGCGTGATCCTCGACTCTCGGTAATTTTCGCCCTGGCGTCGTCCCTTCGGCCGCCGCGCGCCGCCAGACCCTGAAACGGTTAAGTTTCTGCGAGTCCGGCGCCGCTGACGTCCCCGTGTTCCTAGCACGCAAATCTCCGTACCACTCACCCCGTGCCTAGGTCTCCGCCGCTGCCGTCGTACCGAGTCGGTGTACCGTCGGGGCGGAATCGTTGCCCGGTACCTCTATACTAGTCGCCGTGCCGTCGCCGTCCACCGTCGCCGTCGCTCCGCGTGACCGTAACTGCGGTCGGGCGCTCACCGAGCCGCCAGAGGGTCTCGCGCGTCATCGACGACCGAGCTCGCCACGCCAGCTAACCCGTCGTGCCACGGGTGCAGGTCGGAGAACGTGCGCGGGTGACTTGCCGCCGCGCACCGTCCGTGCTCTTTCCCGCATCCTCCCCTCCATTCCGTCGCCGTCTTCCTGTCCGCCGTCTTCGCCCAGGGGGGCGAGCTTCGGACGTCTCCTTATCGGTGGCAGAAGCAGCAAAGGCCGCGGAAAAAGCGTCTCAGGCTCTTCCACCTCTTTGGAGGCGCATCGCTGTCTTCCCGTACAGTCGTGTCTTCGTCGCCGAGCGGTGCTGTCGTTGGGATCGGAGCTAGCTCCGACTCTGCAACAGACGACAGCGCGTCGCCGCTCGGCATTCCACCACCGTGCGAGGAGATGGTCTTCTCGACGTCTTCTGCCGACGCCTCTCCCGCTGCACCTCCGAGAGTCGAGTCTCCGGACTCCGACTCCAGGGTCTGAACGTCACCAGTAGTGGTGACCGTGTCAATGGCAGACAGGATGGGCGCGACTAGACGAACGAGATATTCTTCCGTTTTATCGGCAAGGGCTCCTTCCATTTTGTCCGCAAAAATATCCTCCAACATTTCCATCAATAACACGTTTACCGCAGCGCGGTTGATGTCGCAGTTGTTAGTTGCCATACTTTATGTTTTGAATAACGAAGATAATTTTTGAGTGTACTTTAGGATTCGATCGAGAGTTAGAAATGAGCCAAATAAGATTATTTCAACACATAGACCGATCTCCTAGAAAATCTCCCGGACGACGGTGTGTGTTACTAGCCAGCTACTATGTTTATCGTTCTGGTCGGCCAGCAGCATTAGAATTTCGAGCGCGTTAACAATAATAATATGATAACAATTTTATTTTATTTGCAAACAATTCCCAACACATTTTCAATTATATAAATACAGTAGTAAGTTTGCTGACCTCATATAAGCAAAAGCTTGGGTTGAAGGTGAGAGGTTCTCAAATTATACATCAAATTTAAATTCAAATAATATCAATAAAGTACAATATAAAATTTACTTAATACAAAATAGAGCGTTAATTTTTCTAAAGACCACTATTATTATTGATACCCAGTGACACGGTCGTAATTAAAAAAAAAATAATAACTGTACGACGGTCTGTGATGTATAGTATATCGAAGCAGGACTTAAATTATTTTGTAGTTAAAAAATAATAAAATATTTAATTTTTATAGCTAAGGATTGAAAATATAAAACAATGATTCTCTTGAATAGTTCATAGTTCATACTGAAACCAAACAGTGTGAAAATAATATATAAACACAATTATTTTTTACAGATACTTAAAGTTCAATTTTGGATGAAATTACATACTGTAAAATGAATTAGTCTAACTAGACTGGCTTGCAAGGAAAAACAGTACAAATATTTTTGGGTTAATAACGCCGAAATATTGGTTAAAAAGGATGATGGTGAGAAATCAGAAAACTCTAAGAACCAAATCAGATAAGGATATAAATAAGTTGTAAGTTTTTTATACTAGCTTCTATCCTCCCGAGGCCCATCACGTATTTAAATTTTGTATTACCACTTGCCTAATGTCTATTTCAATGGACATTATCAAACACATGTTTACCCTTCCAAATTATCAATATTTTAAGGTTAAATTGACATAAGTATAATATAAACAACAAAACATGGTGGGCTTTTGTGGGGATAAGAGAAAATGTCCACTGTAGTGGACAATGGGTTTGTAAAAATGCAAAAATAAAATTAAGCTTGGGCGCTAAAGCAGTAATAATAATTGTCCATTATAATGGACATTGGGCCTCAGGAGGCTATAAAATATTTCTATGTTACCCTAAAATTCTAATAATTATATACATAATCACTTTTTACTATGGAATCTAACATTTTAAAAGATATTAATTTATTCAAAAACATAAATACTGTAATTTTAGATAACTTTAGTAATGTACCTACCTACAAATATGATGAATAATAATAAACGACATTTTGATGAATTGGTGTTATTGTTAAACACTTATACATTAAGTTTTGATATAATTTTTCTGTGTAAAACCTGATTGGATTATGACTTACAATTTTTATTAAATGAATATCAAACAATTAACTCTCTTGGGAAATTAAATAAAAGTGATGGAGTTACTATATTTATTAAAGTAATAAAACCTAGAATAACTATTTTAGTTATTTTGTTGTGATTGTATAATATTATTCGTGGGTACCTACTTGAAACTTCTAAAGTGATCTTTTATATATCTATGATAGTATCACGGTTTGTTGTTGATGTATAACGCGTTATAAGTACCTATAACGGAAATTGTGATATGATTAATTTGGAATTTATTATAGGTACCTACCCATTATAGGTCAATTTTTTTTAATACCATAGATAAGTATGTAATATGCCTTATACCATTGATTTTATAATATTATAAAATCAATGCTTATACCTAGACTGACATACCGTCTCCGCTCAGAATCGTTTTTCTTATACAATGATATTATATCATACATCATACATTCAAAAATAAAAGTTGTTATTATATCAAACGAAATATGGTTTCTTTTTTTGGTACTAAGAGTGAATTTGTATTTTAATTCATTTCAACAGCATAATGGGGCCCATGAACATGCTGTTCTGAGGGCCCATGAAAAGTTAAAAAGACGTACCAAATTTCAATACAATAAAGTACCTATTGAGATTTTTGATCACATGAATGGTACTACTAATATTAATTAAGATCATAGAATAATGTTCTGCATTATTCAAGAGCATTTAAGTCAAGGTATTTAAGTCATAAAATAGGAAATGGATTTGGTAAATTTGAATTCAACAATATATCGTTACTCGTTAGGTATATACGAACAACGATTCAAATTAAAAACGGTGTGTCTATATTACTAAGTTTCAACATATTTTTGATATCTTTGCTAGTAAAGGAAT